CCCCAAAACCCCAAAACCCCAAAACCCCAAAACCCCTTTCAATATTAATTAGATTGGTGAATTAGTTATTAAGAGTATTTCAGTGAAATGGATTTTGATACTCTTGAGAACCTCCAAATGTGTTGAGAAAGTCCGACCTCTTGCTTGTAGAGGAGAAAGGTAGCTTTTCTCCTGATATAGTGTCGATTCTAGAAATTTGCTTGATTTTAGAGGCTAGAAGAGTGGTTAAGACTAACATTACTGTCGATAATTGGACCTATTTTATCAATTTTTTGAGGATTTCTGATACTATCCAGTTCTAATTTGGTGAACATAGAACTTACCTAAGCTATCAAAATCATCAAACCTTATGACTCTATCCCAATTCTTCTTTTCTGCAAGAAAAGTTGACATTTCTTGGTCGGAGGAATCATTTGATTCACTAAAATTAATGAATCTGTGAGTTACAAGTTGATTTCTTTGTATGACCTCTTGGGACTACAAATGCTTGTGTCCTCTTTGGCTTCTTCCTTGATAGATTCTCACTAAGAGTAATACAGCTCGCTTACAAAATCAATATCAAAATCACGACTTTTAAAATTAAGTCTTTTGCGGACAGATTTTAAACTTGAACTTTTATGGAGTTTAGATGAGCCCTGATTGAGGTTTTCCATATTTTTTACCAAAAATTTTGAATTCGGAACATTTTCTGGACCTCCAGTATCACCTAGAAGTATTTGGTCGATGGAGAGGTCCTTGTTGGAGCTACTCTTCACGCTCCAATAAGGAGTCATAATATTACACCCTTCTTTTATATATTTTTGCATTAAATCTGATTTTGAATTGCTACCAAATGACTGTCTTCGTACAGAATGTTCTAAAGTTTAGAGAAAATTTACCTCTACTGGAGCTTGGAGTTAGTTCTTGAATTGCCTTGAGCTTTTCCTCTTGTTTAGGGAATATATTAGATCCACATGACAGTATAGGTCTAGCGTATTGGTCAACAATAATATCGAAACTTCCATTTGGATCATTTTCATTCGTAGTCCCTAAAATTATAAGATTTTACTTACTTTCGATCACAACTGTATTGTTGATGTCTGTGTGGTCCGCAGAGATCCTAAGTGTTAATTTCTGTAGATTACATAATATTTCCTTCAGGGTTTTCCACATGCGTAAAATGTATGAGAACCTCTTTAAGCCCTGTAATGTAATACAATCTCCTTGAAACTCGGCTATTCAAAGTAAGTAAGCACTTTGAAGACCCCAGGATGTCCCTCCAAGCAGAAAATGGTGTACCTGATGGTGGAAATATCTTTGAATGAGAGGTAGGAAAACAAAACTTGTATGATTGTCCTTCTGTACCTAAGTCTACCTCCTATAAAGCCATTACTCCAAATGCTATGCCAAGCTTACCATTTGCAAGTAGGATGTTATAAAATTTGGGCCGTGCTAGAGCAAGTCTACCCTTTTTCTTGATCTTTTTCTTTGACTTGCTGGTTCCACAGGCGCATCCCATTTTAAGTTAATATCAAATTTTACAAAATTCAAAAACTTTTATAATATTGGGGTTTTGGGGTTTTGGGGTTTTGGGGTTTTGGGG